AAACAATCCCAAACACCTCCTGGTAGGTTAAGGTCATCTGTAGATAGAATTAAATTAAATTAAATATATATGAATATAAAGTAAACGCTTTAATCATTGTAAATAGATTTTGAAGTCAAGTTTTTTGGGATCATATATGTGGTGAATAATTAATAAAATAAGAAAGAAAAAGGAGAGAGAGATGAGTTGCCAGGCAGGAACCAAATATCGAATTGAGCTGTTTAACGCATGATTTGTGGGGTCATATTTTATGAGTTGGTTTGCATCGTAAACTGAAGAATCCTTCCCATTTCTTTATTACACATGTGATCTCGCATTGCACTTAATTCATTAATTAATTACCATCTCATTTCAAATAAATTAATGTTTTCCTATTCACCATCTACGTGTTAATTACATCTTATATTCTCAATACCAAATTTATGATTTCATTTTTAATTAAATGCATTTATTTGAAATAGTATTTTTTAAAACACAACAATTTTCACTACTAAAAAAAAATCCCAAAATAATCAAGAAAAATCAACTTTTATTTACGTCCGCCACAAATCCCCCACAAATCTTTTACTGAATTTTTGAAAAAAAAAATTTAAAATTATTTAAAACGGTTTTCAACGGATTTTTTACTTATTCAAAACCATCAAAAATCCGTCGGAAATCCGTCACAAAATTGGTTTAATTTATTTAAATGAATTAATTAGCGTTAATCAATAAAATTTCCGACGGATTTCCGATGGAAATTAATTTTTTTTATATTTTAACCTTTATATATATATATATATATATATAGGTCTAATCAAGGGAGAACTCAATTGTTTGTGATAACTGTGAGATCCAATCTCAACCATATATTGTTAATAATCAATGGTTATTATTAAACATATTAATTTTGGTAACTATTCATTAATTTTGGTAATTATTCATTAATTTTCAAATAATTTAAATTTACTGATAATATATATAGGGGTAAATTAGTTTTTTTTAAAATCTCTCTCCTCTCTCCCCTCTCTCTGTGACCAAGAATTTCTAACAGTAAAACATAAACAAATATGATACACTATGATACCCAATAATTTATAACAGTAAGACTCAAAACCAATTGTGTTACACATTGTGATACTCTTGTGATAACGTTTTGAACATGTGTTGATAATAGATGTGATCTGAGTCTTAGGCCACAGACAACCACAACGTGATACACGATTATGATACAATTTTGTTGAGATAATTAAGGAAACAAAATTTGATAACTATTAAATAAGAAAAATATTTAAATTATAATTAATCATTTTACTAAAACGCCCTTTATCTATTAATTAAGATAATACAATTAATATCATAAAATGATTGACTCATATTAGATCTCACGGTTACCGCAAACTACTCAGTTCTCCCTTAAATGAGCCCCTATATATATATATATATATATATTTGGTAGGGAAAAAATAACAATAAAACATTTTTTTTCTTTTAAAATTACCAACGAATTTTCGACGGAATATAATTTTTAATAAAAAAAATTAAATTCCTTCGGTAATTTTCAAAGATTTTTTTTTCTTTTTTTTTCAAGTTTAATTTTATGACGGAATATAATTTTTAAATAAACCATTTTTTCCAAATTTAATATTACCGACGGAACGTAATTTTTTTTATTAAAAATTATATTCCGTCAAAAATCCTTCAGTAATATTAAACTTGGAAAAAAAATCTTTGAAAATTACCGACATATTTCCTACGAAATTTAATTTATTTTTTATTAAAAAATAAATTTCGTCAGTAATACTAAACTTGGAAAAATGGTTTATTTTTAATTTTTTCCAAGTTTAAGTTATTAAGAACTTTTTTCTTAAAAATTACCAACGGAGTAGTCGCATATTCAGTTACATTTAATGGATCTATTGGTTTTATTCGGTTCAATTGCTCTTGACCGAGACATCCTCACAAGCAAACTCGAGTGCATCGTCTAATGTAGATAGTCAGGTGTGTACTTCTTTATCCTTTGATGTTTATTTATTTCATTTGTAATTCTTATTTGAAATTTTAACGTTTTATTGCATTTGTAGTTAATTAACAACTTACAGTCTTAAATTCAAGAAACGCGCACACGAGATGAGATCCTAAAGAAGGAGGTTGATGAACTTCTCTGTTGAGAAGATCCGAAACAGGGAAGATGAGATCTGGAAGAAAGAGCATGCAGACATGATGGATATGATGAAAATGTTTACACAATCTTAACAGTTTAAGCCGACCCCGCCGCAATAGATTTGATATAGTGTATATATATATGTATATTATTTCGTCCGGATAATCATATTAGGTATTTATGATAAATTTGTGTATTGTATATTTGTATTTAATTTACAAGATCTTTATATTTTAGGATTTTAGATTAGGAGGTTTTTTGGTTTTTTTTATCTTGTACCAGCTAAATTTCTGACGGATTTCTGGCGGAGAATCCGTCGGTAAATAATTAGATATAAGCTTTATTAAAAAAAATTATGGCGGATTATCCGTTGGTAAATATTTTTCGTTCATTAAAAATAAAAATCATTTTTCATAATTTAAAACGGGAAAAAAAATTAAATATAATTACCGACGGAATTTCAGTCGGAAATATGTCGAAAAAAATATTATTTTTATTTTTGAAATAAAAACTGTTTATTGTTTCAGAAAAAAATGGAAAAAGTTTACCGATGGAAAACGTTTACCGAAGGAATTTCCGTCGGTAACGCTAATCACATTTTATATACCATCTAATTAACCCGGAAAAAGGATAACATATTATAAAATTGTTCGACGGATTTCTGGCGGATTTTTCCGTCAGAAAATACAAATCCGACAGAAATTCCGTCGGAAATTGCATTTAGCAGCGAGGGTTTTTCCGATGGCAAAATCCGTTAGAAATCCATGGGAAAGTTGTTTTTCCGACGGATTTTGCCGTCGGAAAAACCAGATTTTTTAGTAATGTTTAAAGTATTTGATTTAAGATAAAGCTTTTATGTATATTCATGTAACTTTAACTATTTTTATAAGTTTATGTAAACGGAAGTTATTAAATTTATTTAAAGTTTGTTAAAGTGAGTAAAAATGAAAATGAATGTGAATGTGAAGTTAGATTAAAAAGTCGTATATATAGGGTCGAAAATCATAAAAAAAATACAATTTAAGTAACATCCCGTTAACCTTTGTAACAACTTTAATTACTTGTATTTACATGTGCATATCGTCCAGATGAATGGTTACAAAGGTGTTTTTCAATTTTATTTTTTTGAGATTTTCCCATGAACCCCTCTCTCTCTCTCTCTCTCTCTATATATATATATATATATATATATATACACACACACACACACGGAAGGGTCAAACGAGAACACCTATTATTTAGGTAAATACGAGAACATTTGTAAGCTAACCGTTATGTTTAAGTCAAAGTTTTAGAATAACTGAGGGAGCATTAAGACATTAAATGAATATTTACCATTTTTTAGAAATATTGAAGGCATGCAGGGATAAAATGGAAAAATACAATGAATAGACAAAAAAGACGATCGTGAACGTGATCATATGACTAGTTTTTGATTTATCACATCATTTTCGTAACAAAATCGCATCATTATCACAACAACATCATATTATAAGAAGTCTTTGATTTATCATAGCATTATCACAATAAAATCACATAATTATCATAAAGATTATCACATCATTATCGACAACAAATACATCTACATATGAAGTATTTGATGATACTAACAAGATTTAAGGGATAATGACAAATCATTAAGATAACATAAAATTGTTGGTAAACATATAATTAAATTAATACCCTTAATTATTTGTTTTTATTTATTATAATTTTTGTTATAAGTTAAATAATTTGGAGGCTCATAAATGTTCTAGCATTTTCGTAAAACAAATGTGCTCTTGTTTGAACCCTCAACTATATATATATATATATATTGTGTGTATATATATGTGTTTGGTTTCGGTGAAAAAGAATTTATTGTGTGAAACGTAAGAAGAGATCTTCACCTTGGATCAATCTAGATTACATGTTAACACTAATGAGGTGCATCGAGATCATCAGATCAATTGTCTTCTAAAGAGCAATTAATGGGTGAGCATAAGATTAAAAGTGATTAAGGTTTCAAGGTATTTTATTACGCTTCTTGTCATAACTTCACTTCTCACATGATCATTTGCTTACACACACATACATGAATAAAATAACTATCTTTTACAAACCCAACCATTAGTACAAAACAATCGAGATATTCAACGAATCAGATATTCACTAGACTAGATGAATGGTTGATATTGGTTTGTATTGTTCGTACTAATGGTTGAGTTTGTAAATAAAAGTACCTATATTATGTGTGTGTGTGTGTGTGTGTGTGTTTATGGGGAGAAGATTCAAATAATTTTTTTTATTAAAAACGTAAGAATAAATTATTCATATGTGAATGATTGAGAAACCGAAAAAATAACTATTTGAACACGCATGTGTTTGTGAACCCAAGTTCATTTACCTACATTTTTACCAATTATTTACATATGAAGATGTAGATGTGAACCACATTTTATTTTACAAATGATTTACTTGTAAGTTGTTTATTCTTACATTCTCAACCCTTTTAATATTTCTTATTTGAATCTCCCTAGCAGACTGCAAATTGTCTACATGTATGTGTGTGTCTGTGTATAAATATGGGTTAAATCAAATGAGAACCATGAAAGGTCGAGAATCATGAGACTGATCTCAACCATAATTAGATTTATCCATTGGTTATGATTTATTTACCCAATTTTAAGCTAAAGAGATGAAATTGTAAATCCAATTTTGTGGTAACCGGGTTTATTTTGATTTAAAAGTTTGGGTTTGAATAATGACTATAAGTTGAGGGGTTATTTTGAAAAAAAAAATGCCTAAAATATCTTAAACTTCACACTACCTCTTATTTAAAAGCCATATATGTTTTGTTTTGTTTTAAAGGGATAAGAGGAGTAAGAAATTGGTGAACTTTTTGGTGTGTTCTTTGGTTCGAAGAAAAAGCAGAAGGAAGAAGTGTTTGATTTCATGTTTTTAACTGAAACTTCTTGTTGATTAAAGTTTACATCTACGTGTAATTTCAAGGTGAGTTTTACTTTAAAAGCATCATTTAATTTACTTTGGTGAAGAAACCGTATGGTTTCATACATGGTGTTTTGAATATGATTATATGCTATTATTAGCACAATTTGGGTTTTGATATGATATTATCAACTAATTGTAATAAGGGTGGCGTAATCAGGAGCTGAGTATTATTTGATAAAAGGGGTGACATAATCAGGAGTTGGGTATATGTTTATAATAAGAGTGGCATAATCAGGAGCCGTGTACCCTGGGATAAGGGTGGCATAATCAATTTAAGGAAATGATGATCTTTTGAGCATAGGTTATGGTTATTGCATCTTTCTGATGCAATGAGATTGATTTTTATCGTATATGTATGATGCGATGAAATTGAGATTGAAATTGAAGTGTTGTTTTATCGCATCCTTATGATGCGACATGATGGGTTTATCGCATCAGTATGATGTGAGAAGTTATGTTTATCGCATCAATGAGATGCAACAAATGGTGGTTATCACATTCTTGTGATGCGACAAGATTGAGTTATCGCATCAATAAGATGCGAAGAAATTGATTATCGCATCCTTGAAATGCGACAAGGGGGTTATCACATGTGTATAATGCAATAAAGATTTTATCGCATCAGTGTGATGCGATAAGTTGGACTGATGCGACATATTGATTATTATCTTGTATAATGCGATAAAATGAGATTGTCTCATCTATATTAGGCAACAAAAGAGGGTTGATGTCATTAACTGATATTTATATGTTGTTGTTTCAAGGAATTGTTTTCCAAAAAGTGTTTTAGTGATTTTCACCTTGTAATAGCACTCAAAAAGGGATTACTCACTAGAACTTATAGTCTAACCCTCATTTTGTTTTTAAAATGTGCATTACAGGTCTGGCACGTGTGGAGAGTAAAGGGAAAGAAAAAATATGAAGGAGATTATGATTGTTTTACATCCATGAATTTTTGGAAGCTGTTATTGTATATGTACTTGAGAACTTGTTATATTTGCAAAACATGTATTTGGTGTAAATGAAAATTTTGTAGCTACTTTTCTATGTAGCATTTTGTATATTTTGGAATCAATGTGTATATTTATATTTCATGTTACATGGAATATGTGGTTTTATGCAAATATTGATTTGGGGTGTTATAAACTTTAATGAAGTTTAGTGGTCTCTGACTCCATATGTTATTTCACATCATGAAATGATATACATTTTTCATCTATATGCTATTTCACCTCATAAAATCCAAAATACTTTTCATATATATGTTATTTCACCACACGAAATCAAACACAATTTTCATCTATAATCTATTTCACCCCATGAAATCAAACACATTTTTCGTCTATATGTTATTTCACTCCATGAAATCAAACACAATATTCATCTATATATTATTTCACCCCATAAATCCATGATCGTTGCTCTTTCTAAGATTTTCGATTTCCCTCAAATACTAATCTCCATATGGCGACGATTCTGTTTCAATCGTACAACACCGCCTTTTATGTTCTTTCCCCTCTTCAAATGGCATCGTCATCATCCACCGCCCTTCATCGCTTTTGCTTTCAACACCCCTTTCCCCGTCTTCCACCATTGCCATCACTTCGGTTAACGATCATTAAGATTAGGGATTTCTCTACTAATGAAATAGAAATGAGCAACAAATCGTTTTTAGGTCTAAGAAAAAGTCGATAACAGAATCAAGAAAAATAAGATTAGAAGAATGAAAGAAACCCCAAATCGAATCCAAACTCTAAACCAAAATCAAATTTACCTTACCAATGAACCCTAGATCAGATAATCGATTTTCATCGGTGGAAGCAGAAGCAGAAGCGTGTGAGGGTTTTCATCAGTATTCATCGAGTAGGGAGGGTTTTCACCATCGGAGAACGAGAGGGAGGGGGTTGGGTTTTGCCAGAGAAGCGGATAAGGGTGTGGGTTTGTTATCAAAGAAAATAGTAACGGGAGGGGGCATTCACGATGGAAGTAACCCTAACGATTCAATGTGAGGCTATAGGATAAAGAAGAAATGGTGGTGAATCAGTCAAATGTCGCGAATGACCCTTTCAACTTGTCATTTATCTAATAGTTAGTTTCAAATGTAAAAAATATCATAAAGATGGCATCGCCTTTCATAGTCATAGATTAAATGCAATTAATGATTGTGATTGTTTCTCAAGGTTCTCAACATTTTTATGGTTCTCATTAGATTATTGTCCTCTCTCTCTCTCTCTATATATATATATATATATATGTGTGTGTGTGTGTGCTTGGTTCTGTGAGAAAATGTCTTTTTCATGATAATTATGAGAAATGTAACATTCACATAGTGTATGTTAATGTACCCTTATATTGTGTGAATGCGTATAGAGAGTTGACACCTTCACACAAAATGGTAATGCTAAACATCCACGTCATGTAACTTTCACCATTTTCACAAAATGTAACGTAATCTACACACAATGTAAGAGTATTTTCACGTTTCTCCCCAATATATAGGGGCCTTCTGTAACACCTTGGAATTTCTTGTCTTTCCTCAATCTCCTTTCCTTTCACGTCGGGATTCCTTCCGTCTCGTTTGCGAGGTATGCGTCTTTTATTT